ATAATTAAGCAGCAGCCCAGCTGTCCCCTTCAATGATGCAATTCAGTCCTGCCCATCATCTTTTCTTAGGAACGATAAGGAATTATTTTTGGAGTAGCAAATGCCACCTGAAGAGTGACACCCCCTCCCAGCCCACCACCTAATGTCCTCAAACCCTGCCAGCACCCAGCACAGCATGCCTATATTTTGGTCTACAGTTTGGGCAAACTTTCCATACCAAAACCTTCCCTTCCTTGGCACCAGCTTGTTGTGTGGTGACTGGCACAGGAGACCTGGATGTTGGCATTACAGACACCCACGCTTGCAAAGGGGAGTGCAATTGGGACCAGGGTGAGGAGGAAGAGGGAGGAAGGGAAGGGATGGGATTATTGTCTGGGACAGCAGTAGACAGCAACGGCTTGCAAGACCCTCATCTTACCTGAAGACCACCAAGTTTGGCCCACCCTGACACATATTTTAACACTGTTTTTGAGATAAATCACATAAGAAATCTTTTCTGTGCTCTTCTTTCTAAAAATGACAGGCAAGCACACAATAAGTTTCTTTTTTCCCATCTTAATTTCTGAGGTTTTGTGAGAGATTTAACCAATTAGACGTGTTTTTAATAAACAAATTTAGAGGCTCATATTTTTTCCTTTGTCCTTAAAGCTGGAATGCTGTCCTACAGACAATTGAAAACAGCATAATCCTAATAGATTAAATCTGCTTGCACTAGTTTTAAAAACATATTTAGGCTCTTGTTATCAGCAGAAACCAACTAGTCCGTAGAGAACAAGGAAAATACATACATGCTTGAATACAGCTTGACTAATTAGCATAAACCATTTGAAAAAATCTCATTATACTACTACAGAGTTTCTAAAAAGATTTGGCACTTAAAAGTGAGCTTTAAAAAAGTGTGTAATAATTGTAAAAATCTGCCATTATGACCTGGAATATCCCACATGTAAAGAGAAGAGATACTGGATAGCTTGGTTCCCACAGATTTGGACTTCTGACCCTGAATTCAGCAGTCCTTAAAAGCCGATGACCGCTGGTGACCCCTCAGTCTGCAGGACCAGACAGAACAAGGTTTTAAGTCTAAAAGTCTGATGATAGCAATGTGCAGGATCGACCATGAGATTTGCGCAGTTAGTGGGATACTGAATTGACACCAAACTGGCTCAAATAGATATAAAAATATGTATAAATAAATAAATATAAAATATGTATGTTATACGTATACACACATATGTGTGTGTATATATATACACACGTACATATCTATATATATACGCATACATATATATATATATATTAATTTTTTTGTCCCTAAAACTGGAATAGAACCAAATCATCTATCTGAAGTTTTGTTGAACTTGGACTGGAACTGAACTGGGAGAACTTTGTGAGGGCTGAACCCAAATGGAACTGAAATAAAGAGCTTAAGGGCTTCTCTCCTTGGACTTAAAGTATTACCTGTGCGCATTCTTATCCTGTAACTGTAGTATATAATCAACAGCTGGGTTGCATTGCTAAAGATGAACCCAAAACACCAGTAGCACATTCACAGTTTCTGCTAAGTAAATTTGCAGCACTGGTTATTAATTAGTGGAAGAAAAAGGAAACACCACATTTCCCCTTTAATCAGACTTGGACTTCTGCTGCTGTCCTCTTCCTTCCTAGGCTTATCTGTTTCCTTCTTTGTATCTCTGTTCAGACTGCAAGCAAAGGGATGACTAAATGTTGATGAATAACTGCTATAATTTACTTGAGTGGAATCTGGAGCTGCTCTGTGTATATCCATATGTTTTGCTAACTTTCTAAGTCTTTCTTGGACAGTATAAAATAAATAATCTTAATTGCCTCATCTAGCAAAAAGATATAGTAAATGCAAGTGATGTAACCGCTTGTCCTAATTTTCTATTTTAAAATGCAGGCACATTATCTGCTATTACATGCAGCTGTCAGGATTGCAATGATGTGATTCTGTGAAGTCTCCAAGTTTGGTCACTCCAATTCCAGATAAAATACAGTTCCTTAGATCATGACTGAAAAAAAAAAAAAGCAAAGCTGACAGAAGTACAAGAAGCCAAGAAAGGAAACTTTCAGTAGGTGTGTACTGCTGTGCTGAGAGAAAATCATAGAGATGGTTTATGGTGTTCTCTGCTCCCTGGTGCTGCTCTGTGCTGTTTACAAATACATTTTCTCACAACTACTAGTACAGACTATCCATGACAAGAAAATTTAAAACCACCTCAGTTGTACTTTGGCTACAATAGCAGCATACTTCTGGTCTCAGAGTTACCGAAGATGACTTACTTGTGTGGTTTCCAGTATTGTCAAGGTCATGGTAAATATGTTAATGCACCTCTCTGAAACAACCCATAGGAGTATTTAAATTCTTTATGTCTGTGTTCCTAGAAGACTAACAGGTGTGCCTGAGACAAAAAAAAAAACACTTACCATGATTTACTAGATGTACTGGAATAAGATTTTACAAGCAATTTAACCCCCTGTATCAAATTGATTGCCTGGAAATAATAGTAAATACAAGTGTTATGTCAATCAAATTAAAACACTGTTTTAAAATGGCCAAGCAAGTAGTATCTCTGCAGAAGCTAGCCACACAATAAATGTATATATTTTTAAAAACATTTCTTAAAACCAGTATACAAACTTTGATTTTAAGACTGACTTACATTGTGTTCACATAAATTCTCAACTTTGGTGTCAGACACAGGAAAATCAAAGGAAAAAGATTTAAGCTTTCTCAGAGTGACTGCATATCTTTATGTAAAGACTTGTAGATAAATACCATGTTAAGGATATGCAGTATGCGAGCTCTACTTTTGCTCATATTTTTCTATGGTAAGTATTTCCTGGGTACAGTATCTAGGAAAAGCACATAAAGGTTTCCATAACTAACTTCCAAATACCCTTAAATCTGTACAATTACTCTAAACTGAGTGTACAAATCAGATTCACACGGTGTCAACAGCAGCTGCAGCCACCACCTTTCCTTCTTTTCCAGAGGGTAGGCATTAGCATGCTGTGCAGACCACAGCTTGCTCGCTGTGGTTGCCTATAGCTTCAAGGTGGCGCGTTCCAGCACTGCAGGATCTTTTTTTTTTTTTCCTTTCATCGCTATTGCGGTCCCAACATGAAAGAAAAAGGGCTGACACCACTCAATCCCGTGTAACACCTGACACCTATGTAAAGATGGAAAAAAGTTCTTCCATGGTATGCGACAGAAAGCGATACTGCCTCATTTTTATAGCTCTGTGAATCATAGTCTTCTCTCTTCTACCATATTTTGGTTCCAGATATTCATATAAAATGATGTGAATTCAGTAATACTGTATTCAGTAATCAATAAAACGACCAGATTAATAAAATGACCAGAATGTGCACAGCACTGCGGTAGACACAGGCTGGCACTCACTTTAGTAAACGGTTTTCCTCTATCAAAGTTTCTTCATTTTTAGGCTGCTCAGATGAAAGTAGTGAAGCCAAATATGTATAGTATTCCATATAATACTTCTCTGTGTTTGATATGACGATACAGCACCGGGATGAAGTTCGACTTAGCGCAACGCTTGCAAATAGGAACCAATATTCCTAGAGAGTAATGGGATCAGCTGTTTCTAATGCCATTAAAAGTCCAATGTCGTAATTTCTGATTTAATTTTGGATACAACCCCTCCACTCGCTGAACACCCCCACCACCCAGACGCTGAGAGCGCAGCAGGTCCTCTGAACTCCTGGAAAGGAGACCCCCCGCCGCGGCACCGGGCAACGGCGGGACCCCCCAGCCGGCACCAGGGCCGCCCGCACCGCCGGGCTCCCGGCGCGCTGCCCACAGCTGACATGGCGGCGGCGGCCGCCCCTCCTCGGCCGGCCCGGCAGGGCGGCGGCGGCGGCGGCTTCCGGCGGAGCGCGCTCGCCTTCCCCGCAGATGGTGCTGCCTGCGCAGGCTCCGCGGGCTCCGCGCCGCCCGGGGTAGTTCCGCGCTGCCCTCGCGTAAGTAGGGGAGGGGGACGGCGGCTCGTTCGCCCAGGCGCTGCCCGGCCCGGCTCGGCTCGGCTCGGCTGCCCCCGCCAGCCGCCCCGGCGCCGCGCAGGGGGAAGCGGGAGAGCGCTGCCGAGGAGCCGTCCGGTGGCGCCCCGGGGCCGAGGCAGGGGCCGGGCTTCCGCGGGGCGGTTCCGGGCCGCCTCCGCTGCCGCAGCCGGTGCCGGAGGGAAGGCTGGAGGGAGGCTGCTGGTGGCGGGGGCTCGGGGCCAGGGTGCCGGCAACCAAGCCCTGGCTGTTGCAGGAGCAGCAGCGTCGAGACCTCAGCTGCGGGGAAGGAGTTAAAAGCAAAAGCTGATTTTTTTAATGATGTATTTTTAACCCGTAGGCATGCTGTGAATAGCCAGAATCACTCGTGGGTTAGGCAGGGGAGACGTTATCCTTAGCTAAGCAGGCGTATGGGAACGCACGTGGGAGTCATGAGCAGCCCGTTGCAGCTGGTGTTAGGGAAAACGCCGAAGTTTTTGTAGCCAAGAAGTGAATGTGCCTTTTTAGAAGCCAAAGGGGCTTTTATCAAAAGTTTTATCTCCATTCATGGACAGATTCTGTGTCAGATTTGAAAAAATGCAGACCTGCTTGTGTTGGTGTGGTGATGAATCAAGGACTGTGCACATTCAGCAGGACATGGACTATGTTTCTTAGAATTTGGCTTTACAATGGAAAAGATCAATTTTCAGAAGTATCTGGGAAGGATTTGAGCCATGTCTTTTTTTGGGTCAATGGACATCTCATCTTTTTCATTTTCCGTGGAATTACTACACAAAATTTAGTTCAGAGCTTACTTTGCATCCCTAGATATAGCCTGTGATTAAAATGAATTTAAATTCTTTGTTGCACTAAGCTCTGTCCCAACACTGTAAACACACAAAAAGAAGTACTTAATCTTTAAAAAGACCTTAAAAGCAGTACACCCCATCCTGGAAGTTTATTAGGACAGTGCCAGGACTCATTGTATTGTCCTGTCACTTTCCTTTTCAAATATCATTAATGGCCCTAAGGATATATTTGTCGTTAAGGATTAGACTAGACATCTTGAGTTGGTTCAAAGGTCTGTTATAGACTCCTGTCATGATCTTGGGTCTCTCTGGTCCTTGGCTCTTGTTCTGCAGAGTGACTATAAAATGCATCTTTTTTGGCTTTTATCTCATCAGAGTGTTAGTCAAGTAAAATGGAAGCTGGCAAAGGGCATCTGATTGCTTACTGTGAACACATTAGAAGGGAGGGAGAAGAGCTTCTTAAGCTAGAGAACAATTTTGGCAGAAAAAATGCCTATAAATGGAAGGTGGATAAATTTGAGATGGAAATTTGAAGAAAGTTTCTCATCATCAGATGAGTCAAGCTCCAGAGCACTATTCCAGGATGATTTGGGGGGAGAACGACCTGGTGCATAAGGTGCGTTTCTACCCCTTCTAAACTTAAAATGCAGGCCAAAGCTACCTCCTGCTGTCTCTGCTGCTGCTGCGTGGCTGTGGTGCATCTACCAGTCCTGCTGCTGCTTTTGTAATTATATCAGTTATCAGTTGTGACATCTCTTTAATTTTTGGGGTTAGAGTCTCTTAAGGACTGGCAAGTGCTCTAGCTGCCTTTAATGTGGACCTTAGCCAGTTAGTGAGCAGGATTACATGGCGTGGGTTTCACTCCAGCAAAGGACTTGGCTTCACAATGCCAAAGGTTCTATTCTTGTCTAATATTTCCCAGAAATGGCTGCATTTTACCCTGTGAGACAGTGAAATCTGAGCAGAAAGAAGATGATAGGGATCATTAACAGTTTGCCCAGGCTGGTGATTCTGAATTTGTAATTCTTTCTGAAGGTTGACAGGTGTCAAAACATCTCTTCTGAATGTTCAAACATCACTTCTGGATGTTAAAAGTCGCAGTGTTTTAATCTTTATACGTTTCCTTGCTCCTTGTCTCACACTCTAGGTTACCAGATGGATGCCAGAGATAAGCAGCTTTTACGCTCCCTGCGCATTGAGCTCTGCACAGATGTGCTGGTGGATGGACTTGTTATTCAGTATCTCTTCCAAGAAGGGATTCTTACAGACAGTCATGTTCAAGAAATAAAAGCCCAAACCACCAGTCAGAGGAAAACTATGATGCTCCTTGATATTCTCCCCACCAGAGGACCCAAAGCTTTTGAAGTGTTCTTGGATTCCTTACAGGAGTTCCCATGGGTTAAAGACAAGCTGATGATGAAGCGTAAGGAAATGACAGTACAAGGTCCTTCAGGTAAGGCCAGGATTGTTGTTGCTGGTATTTTGAAGGTTGGTATTTTGATTGTTGTTGCTGATATTGTTCTCAAGCCATGATTTTAAAAGTATTGAATGTACCAGTAATTTCAAGTTATGCATCGTGATACCAAGAAGAGGGAACAGCCTGAATTTCCTGGAAGCCAGGCAAATATCAGGAAATATTGCAAAGTTAGGGGCATGAGCAGGGCTGAGTTTCAGGAGACAAGGAGATAGCAGGAGGGGCTGCCTTGGGTGAGGCTGGAGTATAGGAGAACCCATAATCCATTACCTCAATGGGAGTGGACTATAAAAAGTAGTTTTGACTGGCTGCAGAACAGTCTCTTTACCATCCGTATCTGATTATTGTTTGGTTTCTGTATGTTTTACAGTGATTTGTTTCTGGGTCATTTATACTGACAGAGTTTTTATTTACTTTTATTACAATTTTGTTGTAATTTTGATTTAGTACCAGGTACTAATTTAGATTTATTTAGTTTATTATATTTACTGGAGTACAAATATCTAGGATCATTACTTCCAAAATTACTAACCATTGCTTATTTTTAAAACAAATGTAGGAGCTAACTGATTTAGTGGGTCTTAAATGATCTTATTTAGTAAAATCTCTGGCATTTAAATGTACTTCTAAAATTAGTTTTATGGACTTGATGTTTGTTCAGAAGTGATTTCTTTACCAATCCATACATGCAATTGGCTAAGCTGTTTTGAAGTCAAGACGACTGCTTAAAATTCACATTTCCAGATTCTGGCAGCATGCACTGGCTGCTAACCTCATGTTACCAGTGAGATAGTGAAATAGTCCTCAGTTGGGAACATCCTTTCCAGGCAGTCTGATTAATCTTTCTCCAAGTCCTCCACCCCCTGCTCTACCCCCACTTAAGTTTGGTCATACATATTTTGATGCACATGACTTGTGATTTTTCCAGTGTCAGTGTGGTTTGTGTGAGACTGAAAGCCTGTGAAGATGGGTGACTAAGACCCATTGACCATCATGTGCACCTGCATCTCAGCTACACGTTCAAGAATGTTTTGTCAAGATCTGCTGGACAAATCTGAGATTATCTTACTTTAGGACATTTTTAATGGAATATTGTGACAGCTGTCTTTCTGATGGTCTCTGTGGAGGTTGCTGTGTGTGTGCTTGGAAATGAGTAAATAATTTTCAAAAATTGGGAAACAAATATGCCATGCTGCCTACAGGGGAAAACACTTCCAAGTTCTCATCACAGTGCAAACCAAGGCATTGAATGTGTTGGAAAAGGCCTTGCTCAGACCAAATCCTGAGCTAATGCTCTTTATCTGCCTTACAAAACAGCCTCTTTCTTGGATAATTGCTGCTTAAGCTGTTGAATAATTCTTACAGTTCCAGAAACACACAACCATCAAGTGTTTTACTGGAAAAATTGTTACCGATTTTTGTTCTTCTTGTTGTTTTATGGGTTGCTTGTTCCCATCGTTTGTTGACTAAGGTGTTGGATTTAAGCATATCAAGTTATTTGGTTTCGAGTGGGCTGATTCTACTCGATAATCCTATTGCCAAATTTTGTGTATAAATTAGAAAAGACTTCCAGATTAGCTCAAAGGCTCCTGTTATTTTTATTGTGGCAATACAGAACAGGATAAGAGGCAGATTTTGTAGCCATGTTCTTTAGAAACCGAGGAAAGAGAGCAACATCTGTGCCCTAATAAGTGCTGACTGCGCCCTGGAATGAATTGGAAACTATGGTGGCATCATCAGCTCTGATTACATGCAAGAAAATGTGCTTTGGGATAAAAGCTTTGCTTTGCATTCTAACAACAAAGTTGGAAGCTTTTGGCTTGGCAGAGTACATGAGCATATGCTTAGCCTTAAGCATGGAAAAAGCCATTGGTTCTAATAAAACTATAAGCATATTTAAAATTAAATGTGTTCTCTAGTGCCATGCTAGATAACTTCTGCCTTATTGGAACTGTTCTTATACATGATTATTTGACAGTGGCAATTTGTTTTAAAGAATCTGTTTGTGGTGAAAAGAGCCTGCCCCATACACACTACCTTTTTTTAGATCCTAAAACTTTTAAAATTGGTTTTATGGCCCCAGTTTTTTAAATTTTTTTTTTTAATCATATATACTATGGAAACTGAATGCTTGCTGTTCAGTTGTTTATGCTTAATTAAAATTCTGTTAACTCAAGTAAAATATCCTCAGTTTTTACAGATCCTTTGCAGAACTAAAGACTGGTAGCAAGCTGGTCCTTGAAGGAAGGTTTTATTCACAGTGGTTACATGGAGGATTTTTAAAGTCAGTGACTAAGTAGACTATTAGATTTGTCTATCTGAACCTAAAACTGCCATGTGCACAGTGATTTTCCTGTGTAGGTCTTTGGGTTATTTTGCATTTTGTTCAAAGAGATCAGGCTTTCTATCTTTGCTTCAACAGAGAAGTATATTTTGTTGGTTGCTAGTTAAAAAAAAAAAGTCACAACTGTAATTATTTAGAAACTTTCAATTTATTTTCTTCCCCTAGTTAAAATCAAACCTAAAACAACAAACCAACCAAACAAAACAAACAGCAATTTCAGAAGGTCAGAAAAAAAAATATTTTGTTTTGTTTTGTTGTATAAATATGATCTGGTGAACCGAGCAGCTACAAAATGGAAGCCAAAGTCTGAGACCTAAGCAAGATACTGCCACTGACTCATCATGAGTCTTTGAGCAAATTCTTTCAAGGCAATGGATTTACTGATTCCCAAGTTGTGTAACTTGGTGTAGTGTTCATGGAACAGCATAGGGTGGAACTGTAAATTGGCTCAGGATTCAAACCCAGTTTGGCTGCTTGCAAATAAATGAACTCTAAAACCACTGATATCCTGAGTTTTATTGCTCAGTGTTGTTGACTTAAAAATAATAGTTCTGTATACTGTTATCTGTTGTAGTTTCAAGGAACACAAAAGACCTTGATCTTGCAGAGCATGAGGAATACTTTTTCTATGAGAATCAGGAGAGGGATGTGCAGGCAGGTAGGACCACTTGCATCTGTATAACTGCAGCAAAGAGATCCAAGATTCCTTCACCTTGTTTGTTTACTTACGGCACAAGACAGCCTATTGCCTACGGTCACCTTTCTCCTCTCTCCTGTGGACCTGGCAGATGACCAGAGCTTTAGGGAAGCCTTATCATAAGGTAGGGAAAGCATTGTTATAATATCCCAAAATCCCAAGAAGGAAATTCAAAGTCATGTGCTTTTGAAGGTAAATATTTATAACTTTAATTGATTTAAAGATGATAGGGTATCTTTCTTGCTTGTGTAATAACCTGTGATAAAATAGTTTGCCTTGTGCAGAGTGGCATTGCAAGACTTAATCATTATGAACATCAACAACAGCATGAGTTCCTGGTTTTGAAGATCAAAACTCCTGCCATAGTAAGAGTTAACAAAAGTAATGTGGATCTGTTTCATTGGGAAAAGACTATTCTGTTTTTTCTGCCCTAGTTTGGATAACTTTATGCCTTTGTCAGGAACATAAATCTTCAGTATAGTCTTATAATTCCTACAAAAAACTACAGCTGTTGGCAGTAGAATTCCCTTCTTTCTAGGAACAGAAAACAGTTACCCAATATTTTTTACACTGAATTAAAAAAAATATATAAGCTTTGATGGCATTTGTTTATCAGAATTTTTCTAATCTCTGTCCACTTGGGAATTTCTTGGTCCAAGTATTAAATTTCTCTCCATAATACATGTGCTATAAAATAATTTACTTCTAAAAGTGTTAGCATTGCACTTCTTTGTAGTATAGATGATTTCCCCACTCCACAGAAAATCACAGCATACTGAGAAAGAAAAAAGTCTGAGATATGGCATTTGCCAGAGGAATCCTGGAGCAGCTGCTGTTATCTGGCAAATGTTAGTGAATTTAGGGCACGGAGTTACACAGAATTGCCATGGGAAAGCTGTACTCTCACAACTAAGCAGAGGATATTTTCTAATGCATGATTTTGTTGTGGTGGTACCTAGTCAACATTAAGGTCCTGTTAGACTTGGGTGAGGTTTTTTGATTTGAACAGATTTTAGTGTGGTTGAGGTTTTTCCCTGGATGTGTGGAGAGTATGCGTTCTCATATAGCTATATAAAGCTTCATGTTGTGTAACGCTTTGGATGAAGCATGCAAATAGAAAACAAAGCAAAACATGTACTTATGCTGAGAAAGCCAGACAGCCTTCCATCCCCTCCCAGCTTTCACAAAGTCCTTTTTCCACAGCTGGATTGTGGGTTTCTAAGAATTTGGATTCAAATGCAAAAGCATTAGGACATGGGAAATTTTAGTATGTCTTTCTGCCTTTTGTTGGCTGCTTCCTGCCATCTTCCTGTCCTGCTTCCTCTCCCATCTAATGCAGTGAGGAAACAGCCTGATCTCTTGCCTTTTCCATTTGGATGTCAGATAGGAGAGCAGCTGAAATGGTGGACACAAGATAGTGGGTTTTTTCTTTCTTTTCTTTCCCTCCCCTCTCTTGTATAGTCCAGTGGCAGAAGGGGGAGTTTACTCCCATGTATGTCTGAAGGGATGGGCTTAGCAGCCTTGGCTATGCTGGGTTGACCTGGAGATGAAGAAATGCCCTTGCACCACATCCTAGTGCCTGGAAGCTATAGAAAATGTTATCTTGAGAGATTCAAAGGCATCCTGGTAGGAGAATTTCCCAAACTCTTTTCCACATTCCCATCTCCCCTGAAAATCGGGTGTTACATTTACAGCTTTGGCTGTGTTCCTGACTGCAGTGCACAGACTGAAGTCTGGCGTTAAAGGTTTGTGCAGATACTCAATATTAACAGTATGCATCATGACATCATGACATGGACAAGTAATCAACTTCCCTGGTTCTATGGAGCATTCTGTGTATTTAGTTTAGTTAGTTGTGTGTATGGATGTAAGATTTTCTTTTTTTTTTTTCTTTTCTTTTTTTTTCTTTTTTTTACAGTTTAAGGAGTATTTGCTTGC